GTGCTCTTGGGTTTAATGTACAGAACTGTACATAATTATTTAGAACAATACACATATAAAGCCATGCCAGGGAAACTAGCTTTGCCAAATTTATCGTCGGCTGCTACAGGCTGAGGGACTGGCACCATCTCAAAGAAAGCCACATGTGTTAATATGAACTAGGAATTTTTATAATTTTTATTGTGCCTTTTGGGGAAACGTCCTTTCTAATAAAAAGATACATCATCATTTCTCAATTTTTATTAAAAAAATGATTTTTTTATTCTAGAGAAGAGTTGAGCTTTCTCCTCTTATCTGTGTGGGGAACCAAGTATCAGACAACTTTTTGAATCTTAAGAATGACAGGAATAAAATGATCTAATTGGTGAGTCAGCGTCCTAAGACAGAAATGACCTTTGTATTATTATTGTTTATGATTATTTTTAAATATATAGCAGCACTGTTTGTAATTTATTAAGTGGGTTTGCAATTGTTAGCAGTGAAGGGGAGGTTTGAGTTGAATAGATGGAAATATTTTTAAATAAAAATAAAAACAGCATGTCTTCAGTTCTAATGAGCAACTCATTACTAGCAGATATATTTCTTTTTAGAAGTGTTATAAAATAAATCTTGAAGTCAGCATTTTTTATAACTTGCAGAAGGAGATAAAACTGTTTTATTGTTTAGCTTTATCTCATTAAAAGTCCTCTATAGAGGAAAATTATTTGTATTTATTTCTTAAGTAGTATTTTTTGAATCTATAATCTGTTATATTCAACTATTCATGACTAATAAGAAGATAATGACTTCTATTTCATGAAAACTATGTTCCAGGCTTTTCATTGCAGGAATGAATTCCAATGGGCATAATGACCAGCAACTTATAGAACAGACAACTGTAAATCAAAGATATTCAGTCATTTGCTTAATATTCGGTAATTTACTCAAAGCTAGAGCTGTGATTGGAATCGGGGCTTCTTGAATTATAAAGTTCTTTCCACTGTTGCTTCCTTCAAAGAGAAAAAGATCAATTAGTGTCTATATAATTGTGTCAACCCTAATAAAACCAAGAGCTAAAGGTTAACACAGAGAAAAAGTCATTTTTATCCAATATATAACTGAAGAAGAATGTGAAACACTTCCGCATTCATTAGGAAACAGTCATAATTTTAAAAGATAATTTCATTAAAAGAACTTAAAGAATTTAAAGATAAGACTTGCAAAACAAAGGGAAAAGTAAAACATTATGTATGAAGATTTAGGAAGGTTAAAAAAAGATGAATTAGGCCTAGTTACAGCCACTCTTTCTAGGGTACAAAAAAGGTCAAAGCATTGTTCTTGTGATGCTGCTTTTCTAGATGCAGGCTCCTGAAGTTCCGAGACACTGAAAGGAACCAGGAAGGCCTTATAAGGTTTAACATTTTGGGACAAGCCACTCAATTGAGCAAACATGTTCAACAGTTTTCAGTTAGAAGAGAAAAAAGGGGGCCTCCCTGGTGGCGCAGCGGTTGAGCGCTGGGTTGCGAAGCTGCCCGCAGCCTCTGCAGCGCCAGTTCGATCCCTGGCTGCTCCCCGGCCTCGGGCGGAGGGTCCCACATGGCACGCAGACCTCTCCTGCCGCCCGCTGCTCCCCTCAGCAGTGTACTTCGGTCCTTCTGCCTGCTCTGCTCCCTGCTCTGGCTCTGGTGAATTCTCTCACCCTCCCGCACTTCTGACTGTACCCAGTGCTGGTATAAATAAATAAATAAATAGATAAATAAATAAATAGATCTTAAAAAAAAAAAGAAGAAAAAAAAGGCCTAACTGCCTGGGCTTCACTGGAGTTGGTGGCATGTGCCCTGCAAGTCACTCATAGAAAGGGGAAAGCATATTTCACATCTACTTCTTTAGCCCATTGGACGTCTGCTTTATAATCTGTAAGGGGAAAACTGAACACATAGCACTACTTGTATCTAATTCAGATTGCTCCAGAGAAATGCTGAGGCAAGAATAGCTGTCAGTCCTCAGTAACCAAAGGGATGGAGATTTTAGCTATTTAACTCGGAGAGTTTAATTCTCTTAGGCATCCCCTGGAAGATGGAAACAATCATATTGACAGAAGCGAGAAACCCCAATCTGCAGTAATCCAAGAACAAGATGAAGGCAGAGGAAGGTGTTGTCTCTCAAAGGAAGAATTGCTACAACCAGAATTAGTAACTGAAGATTGTAATTGGCCAAACTTGAATTTTTTAAAGAGCATTGAGCATTCCAGATGAATGAATGACTTATTATGCAGGAATTTCAAATATTCCAGATATTAATTTATATTCCAAGAAGTATCCGTAACACATTCTGTGTCTTTTTCATCAACCTGAGGAACTTTCAAAGTTATAAAAATTTGAAAATTCTAAATGGAAAGTGTAATCAAAGAGTGAAAAAAGATCTAAAGTAGATTAAATCACTCTTGTCTATTGTTCTTTGATCTGATGAACACAGTCTCTAGCTTGTTCTGTATCTACACTTGCATGGTGAGCTGGACTCTGCCCCTTCACATCCCTGCTATATAATCCAGAGACCAGTTCATATTTACATCATCAGTTTCTTTCAGTGTAACTAAACCAACTAAACATACTTTTCAAATGTCTAGTATAAACTGTACCTAATAATGCTAAATTTACTTCTTACTCTGATGTTCAGATCACCACAATTTTTGACATTGCAATATCAGCATTCATTCTGAAACCTTGGCAATGAACCAAAGTATTATTCCCACCTAGCAGCCTTATAATGCAGGACTCTGTGACAGTGAAAAGCAAGAGCAACTCTTCTTTGTTTTCTATCAACACAAACCATCGGGATTTTCACAATGAAGTAATGTGAGTTTAAAGTCTTCCATCTGAATATATTTCTAAATTTAATTCAATTTCAGTGTGAAAACTTGCAAAGAATTCCCCCCCCAAGCTACACCACATCACCTACAAGGCAACAATAAAGTAGCTTATAATTTACATCCCAAGAAAATAATTTTTTAAAGATTATCGTATAATAAAAATCTTTGATGTAACATTTTGTGCATATTGCCACCTGAGAAATAAGCTAAAAAACCAAATGTGATTCCTATTTTAGGCAACCCTGCTTCTTTTCATACAACTAGTTAAAGAATGGTTGATTATTTATGTGAATATGACTGAAGAGACCAATTTGTAACACATACACAATTATTTCCTTACAATGTGCATGCAAGCTATTCCTAGCACACCAAAAGTCTTTATTGGGTCAATCACCTGCCAGCTTACACCTACTTTAGTCTGCTTTTGCTTGATCTGGAGCTTGGAATTATGCTGCTTCCAGGCCTAATTCTAGTGTTCTTGTTTTAGTTTTAAGCTTTCTTGCAATAAATGAATCATTAAGCAAGATACCATGTAAATATTAAAAATTAAGAACAAGCTCCTACCTCCTGTTGCCAACTATTATCAGAAAAACAGACATTTAAAAAGCTAAGTGATACTATTTTTCATGTATCAAAATGGTAAATTTTAAAAAGAGTAATAATCAGAATTGACAATGATAAGGTGGGGGTAAAATATTAATTGATACAACTTTTAAGAATGAAATTTCACAAAAATATTATACACTTTTGATCTGGTAATTACAGTACTAGGAATTTATCCTAATGAAATCATCAATGACACAAACAATAACACACAAATGAAACTGTGTGGATGAGATACCACACACCTCCCCAACAACAGAACTTTGATAAATGTTATTAAATTTCCCTATATTGAGCTACTCTTCAGTCATTACTTAATTAAGATTAAAAAAATAAGGAGTAATACTCTCATTATAAAACAGTAATGACAGTGAGTATACAGCACCACATTGTAGGAGACCAGAACATGTCACCCCAAAATACGTCTCTTTGGCATAAGGATTATGTTAAGCTTCTGAGTTTGAGCAGAAACTAGGAAACTCTAAAAATAGTGTAAATTACCCTTCAATATAAGAGATATCCACAGTATTAAGGAATGTCTCCATTTTTAAGGGTGTTTATTTCTAATATCAGGGCAGAAAGGGGGCTGTAAATCATAAGAGACTCATCAACGAAGGCACCAATTTCAAACTACATAACAAATGTTACTCTTGCTTACTGAACTTTTATGGGGCACCTTCCCATAACTTGCCTCTCTTGCTTTATTTTAGCAAAAGTCGGTATTTAAGTCCAAATTCTAGCCCCTTCTTTTGAGTTATTCATTCCTGAGTTTCTCCCAAATATATATTAGATATATATGTTCATAAACTTGTGTTTGCTTTCTCTTGTTAACGTGTCTTTCGTTACAGGTCCCCAATCCATAATCTGGAAGGATAAAAGGAAACAATATTTTTTTTCCTCCACTACAACATAAAATTAAATAAAATGAAATCTTCTTGTCCACAGATTCTTTAACAAGAGTCTCACTTTCTTATAACCCTCCAATAGGATGTGGCATCTTGAGCATAGATTTTAGATGAATTTCAAAAAGATATGAAGAGCGATGGAGTATTTATTATCAGGAAAATATGTTGAAGCTGACCACATGTTCTTCTCTCTGGCTTAAATGGTTTTTCAACTGACTGTCTGCTATTAGCACTGCAAACACCAATTTTCACCAGACCTCTGATCTGTCCCATACCAAAGTTCATGACACTGAAAAAATGTATTAGAGAGCGCTGTTGTTAAACTGGGCCACAGTCCCAGTAGATGGCTTCTATTAGAAGTTGGCAACATATCTGGTTCACAAAAAAATTCAAGTTATTTTGTTCTCATCATGCCCCCAAATTATATTATATTAAATGCTTTATTTAAAAGAATTATCTCCAAAATTAAGATATTATTTATGAAATCATTTTGATGTAGTGAATTACATTTAAAATATCATAAAAGATTATACTTAAATCCAAGTTGCTTTAATATAGAAAAAGCTCAGTTTTATAATTAATTAACTTCTGCTTTATAAAACACATGCTCAAAATATATGAACAGAGACATATGGAAAACTCACATAAAAGAATCCAAGTGGTCCAGATATATATGGCATTTTGATTCCCAAGAGATACTTGACTTGTGAAGTCACAACGTGGGTGGCCGCACCAGTTGTCATCGCGCTGATCACAGGCTCTGTGAGCAGGAATGTGGCACTGCCCAGTTGAAGCACAAACATGGCCACCTAAGAGGACAAAGGAAGATGAGGTTTCCCAAGGTTCCTGCAGTGATTAAAATCTGACACATGTTCGTTTTCATTACACAGAGAGAGAATGATGTGAGATGGGTCTCTTAAACATTATGCATTCAAAAGCTTGAGTTTTCTTGAGAACATTACTGTATTTCAGGACATTTTTAACATTTTGGGGTACAATATAAGTAAGAGCCTTAGAGAATCTGACAGTTTTTTCCTAAATACTGAAATTTCTTTCTTCTGTTTTCTTAATTAAGATATGGGGTTCTCCAAAGGACACAGAAACATCAATTCCAAAGAGCACCTGCACCCCTATGTTTATAGCAGCACTGTTTACAATAGCTAAGCTTTGGAAACAACCCAAATGCCCAAAAATAGATGACTGGATCAAGAAGATGTGGTACATATATACCATGGAATATTACTCAGCATTCAAAAAAGATAAACACATGCAATTTGCAGCAACATGGATGGCGCTGGAAGGGATCATGCTCAGCGAAATAAGCCAAAAAGAAAAAGAAAAATACCGGATGGTCTCACTCATAGCAGGAATCTAGAAACTTAAATAAGGGACCAGGAAAATGAATATAAGAAAGTGAAAATCAAAATCAACAAAAAACTATGAACCAGAGACACTTTTTGGGGGGTGGGGAGCGGGAGGAGAAGGATTGGGGTCAGAATGGGGCGTTTGCAATTGTATGGGGGAATATAAAAATAAAATTTATTATTTAAAAAAAAAAAAAAGATATGGGGTTCTGCAGGGGAAAGTTAAATTTGTATTAACCGATCTGTAGTTTTTTTTTTTTTAACAAAAGGACATGATTCACTACTTTACACAGAATAAGCTGAAAATCATAAAAGCATTGAAGAGAAAAATGTTATTTGAGTCTCATCCAGTTCAGAGAAACAAACATACCATTTTGTCTGGCTACTCTATCTAGCAGCTATAAAGGGCCAATATAACGTATCCATAGATTTATGTATCTATAGAGAAAGAAAAAGACAGATGGTTAAAGGGATATGTCTAAAGATACCCAGGAATTAGTAGAAAAATAATTCTCCTTAAACATTTCTTTGTCACTCCTAACATCATGCTCCACTGCAAAATTATTTCATGACCAGACAAAAATCATCAACTCTGAGTTTAAATTGTGTGCTATTGAGCTCTGGTGGGCATAAGATGACAAGAAAAACCAAATCTCTGTCACATGTGAACACTGTAATGTTTAGTATTCTCCCTTTGCCAAATTGCCAAATTAAAACAAAATTTTTCAGAAATGACCCATTCTTTGACTGAATATAACTGAAAACTCAGTCGTAAAAATTTACATTTTTACAAGTTACATTAAATTACTTTCATGAGTGTTCATGCTGGAAAAGTTACACAGAATACTAACATATCCTCTCAATGTGCTAATTTTAACATTAAGGCTATTGCTTGAGGATAAGATCAATTATCAAAGAATAAGAGGAAAGAAGAGCAGCAAGAGCTCTGATCAAGAGATCACCGTGATGAAAATGAGACACTTAAGGTGCTCTTTGGTATCACTAGAATGCAAATTGGAAAATAAATCCTTTCCATCATGTCACAATATCCATTGGCCAAAAGCAATAATGCGCTGAACTTTATTATTATTACAGTGGAGTTTCCTAGAATCAAATCTGAAAACCTTAATGCTGATCCTGGTTTTACCACATCCTAGCCGTATGACAACAGAAAACCTACTGAAATGTTTTGAACATCATCATATATAAGTTCTGAGTGACATCTGCCCTACCTCTCCTGTAGAGTTACAGGAAAGTATGAAATAATATATAAAAGATTTTTAAATATGCAAATTGTGGAACACACATGCTGCGCTGGCACATCCTGATGTAGCAGACATCATAAGCCACCTACTGGAAAACCAGTCACAGAGTTGAGGATGTAGAAAGGATCACACTACATCGTTTAGGTCCAAAAAACTTAAAAAAATTTATGAGTGAAGAAAGAAATATGTTTGAATTGTTTGCAGTTTAGCAGTTCCCTTTTATTCAAGATATAATAAAGAAAATAGTATGGATTGCCAATGTAGAAAGCAGGCAATATGTTCCTGCCAACATAAGAAGCCAAACAGCAGCTTTTGCTACTAATGTTTTTTCAGAAACTGTGTCAGTTCATCAAAGTAGAAATGTCCTGAGGGAAAAATCGAATCAATCAATGTTATAGGTACAAGTGGAACACACAGATCTTTTTGGCAGCTTTTGATTCATAGTCTATTGGTTTTCATCTTGGAAACACAATCAGTTAAGAAAAACATTGAACCAATTTCCCCTAACATGTCTCTTACAAGCAAGTTAGTTCCAATTTGTGGCACTTCCAATTTATGGCACTGCCTCTTACAGGCCATGAGATGAAAATTAGCATATTATTGTGGTAAGATGAACACCAGAGAGTTGAATTTTCATTTCAGCTAAATTGCAGTAGACAAACAATCCGAAGATTTGAAATTATAAAACTGTTGACATATATGGAATTTTATACATACCTAGAATATTGGAAAGTTCTTATCTCTATGATAAGAAATCTTATCTTCATTTCTTTTGAGAGGCCAATGCTTTGGAAGATCTTATATAGACCATCACCATTTCACCTTTTGTTTTAATTCTTTGCAGTGTCTGTTCAGAGGAGTTAATGATTTGTCATGCCTGAGAAAGAAAAGTTACCTAACCCTAAGTGAGTCCCCAACCACTTTTATGTAACCACCATCTTCTAGTCGCAGTTTCTTTGTCATTCTGCAGCCTGAATATTGCAAATGGAAGGGTCCAGAATTGAACAAGATATAAAAAGTATTCAGTCATTTCAAATATTGGAAATAATCATACCTACCTTATAATTGAAACCAGGAAAGATGGAGTATCCTCCTTTAAAATTTATCCACAAACTCTTCAGTATTTTTGTAAAAATGTGTGTGTGTGTGTGTATGTGTATTTATACTACCCAAAAAAACCTTGCCAGCAAGGGTTGAATCCCTAAAATGGAGAATTCTTGACTCTGTAATGTCAACAAGCCCCTTAAGAGCTCGTTTCTGATACAAATCACTGGGTATGTGAAGGATGATTGCAAACATGTGAGATTTAACTACAGAGAAATTACTCTCTTCTGAATGACAACATTCTACATTACCCAAGACAATGGCAGATGTTTTAAAAAGAAAAAGAGGAGAAAGAGGGATGTGTGGGACGGAGTCCAGGAGGAAAAGAGAGAGGAGAAGGAGAAATTTTAGCAGACCCCTTTTCCTGCCACCTAAACTTTCACAATTTATTCACATCGAAATTACAGATTAAGTGTGCACACCTCGAAGGCAGAAAACACTCATGCAAAGGCTTTGAAAGAGGGTCCCCCAGATGGATCTGTGGTTTCCAAATTCATCTTGGAACTTAAGCACGTGAAGGAGGGGATCCTTTGTTTGGAGGCCCAGCATTTAAATTTTGTAGCAACATTAGGGATTGTTTAAGCTAATGACTTAATAACAGCCACGTCAGCTCCTTTTACTAATTATATGAATGGTGATAATTCCAATCTGACTAATCAACTCCCAAAATTTGACCACGCAACATTTTATGAGGAAAATAAATTTCATACAATATATTTCAGCTGTTTGTAGCAATGCTGACGTTCTGGGCTAATGCTGAAAACCTCTGACACACATTATCAAGGTTCACCAGCATGATACTATTTGGGAATGTTTCTATAAACACCATGTGTTCTATATAAATTGAATGCATCTCAGATTTCAGGTCATTTTTGGGAAGTGGCCTTCAAAAAGTGAAAAAAAGAAAATCATGCACAGCAAACAACTTTAGTTAATATCAATGCAACAATCTAGTTCATTAAATGCAACTAATATACTTACATATTCATGTAAGATGTTAATAATGTAACAATGTTAATAATGGGGAAATTGTGAGGAGGTGAGGTTTGTGGTAACTCAATCTTTGCAAACTTACTGCAACTCTACAATTTTTATGAAACATAAATGTATTAAAAATAAAAGAAATCCTCCTCCACTTTCTCATAGAATCTCCAGGTAATTCTGTATTTTTTCCCCAATGTGTCCTGGGCATGAGGAGTTCCTACATTCTGCATGTATGGGTATGGTGAAAAGAGGGACTCTAAAGGGAAGCCCAAAACAACTGGGTTTTAAGGGCATGCAACTGTGCAAAAAAACACACCAAAACAAGTATGCACAAATAAAAGAGGGGACTAGGAAACATGCCACTAGATTTCAGCAGGAGAAGGGAATACTGCTAGGTAGGGGCATCTATCAGAATTGTGCCTTGCACTTAAGGAGGAATCTAAGAGAGAAATTAATTAGAAAACACTCCAGAAATAGGGTTTAGTATAAATATATTGTAAAACAACATGGAATATGTTCAGAGGACACAGAGTTGCTAGTTTAGAAGTAGCACAGCTAGCCAAAAAAAGTAATAGGAAAATAAAACAAGACATTTTGAAGTTAAGAGTACAAAGCACCTGAAAACTAGTGAAAAGGGAGTTCTGTAGCAGTGAGTGACATCACTCTTCCATACATTTATTAAACACCTAAATTTGCCAAGAAGTATAATGCATATTGGCTGGAAAATTTGAGCTATGCTTTGGTAGGTTTAATCTGGTGATAGAATGTGGAACAATTGGCCATTTAAAAGGTTAGTATAAGTGGAAATGCTAAGAAAAAAGAACAAAAGAATGAACACTGGACACAGCAGGTACAGAGAAAAGAGATGAGCCAAGTGTTGGACTAGACAGTTGGCAAACTGATCACAAGCTTAGAAAACAAACCTAGTGCTTTTATTTGACTTTTTCTTTATTGTAAAATATATCAGAAATTCACCAGCTTTAGTATAATTTTTGCTTGGAATCACATAGTTGAAAAGGGAACCATAATCTGTTCCATTCTGACTTCTCTAGAAAATAGTGGCTACCAAATCAAAAGACAGTAAGAATCAAA